CAATCCTGTTCTTAGGCGTGTACTATAATACAGTCACATTGCAGGCAATAGTTAATAGAGATCGCCTCGGGACAGCATGGTTTGCACTCCCAGTTGTAACAGCCGTGCCTCCGCGTTGATTTTGAAAGAATTCGAAAAGGTCACGATTGTATAGTCACGTGGACTAGTCGTCGTAAATAATTATTATCTGGACGTTTTTACACAGTTTTATTAACTTTGTAACGACACCTACACCGCAATAACACGGTGAAATTGTGATCCTATTATTATACATAAATATGTAAAACGGATAACGCTTTTATTGTACCTATACCGACTTTCATTTTTTCTAAGGCTTTTTTTCCATAAAATATTTCAAGCGCTTTAAAGTACGAACAAAAAGGGTTAAATTTAGATGACAATATACGTTATCGAAGGAAAAGTTAAGGGTAATATATCAAATATTTAAACAGAAGAAAAGAAAATCTGGAAAAATACATGAGTAAGACATAGGGAAAGAGCTGGAAGACATTGATAAACAAAAGAGAAGAGAAAAAATGATAAAGCCTAAAATTCGCAAAGGAATACAAGAAAATATGGAGTGAAAGCGAAGAAAAACTTAATGATTTGAAAGACGAAAAGAGTAAAGAGTAAAAACGAATAAACATTTAAACTGGAAAGTCAGAACAGAAAGGCAAGGCACTGGGAAAATGAAGAGAAGAAAATATGTAGACTGTGTAAACCGGAACCAGAGACGCTCGAACACACTTTTGAGAAATGTGGAATAACAGGTAATGATCCAAAAAGATGGAAATTTGAAAGGAAAGGAAATGATGGTCTAAAAAGAATTTTATGGAATAGGAAAATTGCAGAAAAACGAGAAGAATAAAAATATTTATTTTGTAAAATTCATATGTAGGTATAGAACAGCTAAATTTAAATGCACCTTACGTATATAAAACAAAATGTTTTTAATAAAACTATGTATTTATCTAGGTATTTGTTTTTTGCGAATTTAGCCCACTTTGACCAAGTACAAGACAATAATGAGTGAATTGTCTTGAAGGCTGAATGGATCTCTCAATTCAATAGCTAAGCTACGATGTATCAAGTCTAAAGTCTTAAAACTTAATTGGTACGAAAATAAATACCAAAGTTTGCTTTTAAACAATTAACAGCCAAACCGGTAAACACGAAACATCGAGGAGATGCATGTGTAATAGTGTCTGCTATAACCAGTAGTGAACCACAATAGGGAAGATGTCAGACGAAATCCTGCTAGAAGAAGGAATTCGTTGCTTTACTAGGACTTAACGACATCTTCACATCAATCGAAAAATTGTCTATTTTGTCATGACTTCATACCGTCTGTCGAAAACAGTAAAATTCCATGTGCTGCAGATATAATATAAATCACGAGGTAGAATGTTTGGGTTTATTATAACAGTTTCGATATTTGTTAGAATTTTTCAGAACTTTGACGATCTCGTCATGACTTTACTTCTTCTGCTGAGTTCCCAAAACGGCAGAGACTTTACAAAGTCTTATCGTTTTCGCTAGTGATAAATCTTGGTCTTACAGTCTTGGTTTTGGTCTTGCAAAAATGACCAAGACCAAGACTGAACTAAGAAGACCAAGACTGAAACCAACAACGAACAAACAAGACCAAAGCTCTAAAAATAAGATCGAATATGCAAGAATATTTTAATTTCAGAATCTAAATGTTGTCAATTTGGTTTCTTTGGATTTATGATTAAGGTTTATTCATCATCATCATACGGTCATCAGTCCTAAGACTGGCTGGACACGCACCTCCACTCTTTCTTATCCTGAACTAATGTTCGCATTTCCCTAAAACTAGAACGTCCCACATCCATAACTATTTACGAACAGTAATCTAATCTAGGTCTACCTCTACTCCTCTTAACTACTGTTTCTGCCTCTAATATGTCTCTGAATCGTTGATTTATTGAAAATAAATAATAAAAACAATTAGAGTGGACGAAACACATGTTCGTTTTTCTATAAATCAGGTAGATACATTATCCTTTATTGTTTTTCTTGACACAAAGGAAATTTACTGTTCTAACCTTTTGACATTTTTGTTGACTTATTTGTACCGTTTTTTACATTGTTTCCTATCAGTTACCAGCAGAGTAGGAAGCATATCATCACGTTACAAGTTTAGAACGTAACAATGTGCAATATTTTTTACCAAATCAGGTTTGTAAAGTAGGCGCTAAATAAATTTTGCGTAGGCATTTGTACGAACATACACATACGTTCACAAGCGCTTGGACACCACTGACAATGAGCACCTACAATAATACATTCGTGAAATAACGACAAGATGGTCCGCATGTTTGCATTCTTCGCTTTATAATCATGCACCTATATACCTTCATGCGTGCTACTGTGTATGTAAATAGCACTCTAGATAACAGTATTCTGATGAACGTACTCGAATCGGTTATATAACTAACTGTCCATTGATATAAATCAAGGCACACTTCGGTTATTTGTATTGTCTTGTATGTAAATAAGCTGATTGAGTTCCTTACGTGTTTTATGTCATCTTCTTTACTAATACCAATTTGAAAAATAAAGTTGTATAAAAATCTTCAATAGGTAGATGCATATTTTATGATAATTTTCTTAATACATGCTTAAAAATAAAGGCGAATGCTCATTTAATTATATATAATCGCCATCATAAGGTCCTACGACTGGTTGGACGCGTGCCTCTACTCATTCCAATCCTGAGCTAATCTTCACATTTCCCTAAAACTAGAACATCCCACATCCGTAACTATTTGCGAACAGTAATCTAATCTAACTCCTAACTCCTGTTTCTGCCTCTAATATGTCCCTGACTAGGCAAAACTCATGTCTGAGAAGGTGTCCTGCCAACCTATCTCGCCTATTTCTTATTGACTTCCATAGAGCCCTCTGTTCTGCTATTCATTCTAATACCTCTTCATTTAGAAAATACAACAAATGGCGCGGTAAACGTCATCTGTAGTACGATGCTACATTTTAGGATTACGTATACTCCAACAAGGTCCATTTAAATATATGGATATCTACTTGCTGAAACGAATCCTGGCGTAGCTAACCTCAACGTGATAGACACGTTACCATAATCGAATAAAATAATTCGAAGTGGTCTGTATTCTGTTGAAACTGCCAGACGCGGATCGCGATTTCGATCTTTTTGGATCTCATCAGCGCGTCGCAGACAGCTCCGACAGAACACAGACCAACTTTTACCTGCTGTGTTAACAGCGCGTTTTAGAAAATACTACAAATCGCGATCCGCGTCTGGCAGTTTCAACAGAATACAGACCACTTCGAATTATTTTATTAACCTCTTCATTTCTAACCTTCTCTATCCACGGTATCCTCATCATTCGCCTATAACATCACATTTCGAACGCTTTTAACCTTTTCTTTTCCACAACGTCTACCGTTTCGCACCCGTACAGCGCCGCAGTCCAAACATACACCTTTAACAATCTTTTTCGAATTTTTAAAATTAATCGTTCGCGAGCATAGAAGTGACATCTTTTTATTGAAGGCAACTCGACCCTGCGCTATCCTCTGCTTTATATCCCTACCACTCCTTCCATCCTGACTTATCTGCCTTCCTAGATACCTAAAATCGGCCACTTCTTTTAATTTTTCGTTTCCTATCTCTATATTCGCTCTTTCCCTACTTTTTCTTCCCTTGCATACCAGTATCTTTGTTTTACTTTTATTTATTTTCTTACAATACTGTTTTGCCAATACCGCTTCCATTTTATCCATTTTATTCAAAGCTATCTCTAATTATTATTCCTTGCTAGATGCTAATACTGCTATATCATCTGCAAATCTAAGCATACTAATCTTTTACCCCTGTATATCTATCCCTACAGTTGTTCATAATATGTTCTTAGAATCTGTTCGCAGTTAGTCTACCAGATATAATGTTAATGGCCAAAATTTACTTTAATTCATTTGTTTAAAAAGGTTTTGTCAATTAATTTTATAAGAGGGCGTAGGTCTGAAAAATTTTACGTGATATAGCGACTATTTCTCTCTCACTCAATCATATTTCCAAATAATCTTAAAATCAATTCATTCCTTTTTTGGAGAGTAACTACCTTGTATTCATAAACAGATTTACAAAATTCGAAATCATACTTCTATTTATATTCAAGCTTAAGAAATTTATAAATCTTTGTCCATTATTATCATCATTATTGATACGAATATTAATAATCATTTCGACATTGCATATCTCTCGGTAAAGGAGTTTTGAATGAATTTTTTTATAATAGATGTAGGTGACAACCTTGAGCACAAAGGTTTTCGCTAGCCAGCAAGCATGTTGCAACTAATTTTAGTTACCCATATACACATGCATTTAAAATAGATACCTATCAACATACATAAATAAACACATATGTAAATTGCATTAGGTGTTTTATATATTTACATAAAAAATTGCCCACTTATGCCTACATGTGTACAAATCTGAACACATGTATGTACCTACAAAGATAGCAGTTTATGCATCTGCACAAGCCAATGGCATGGAAGTAGATTAGTAATTAAGATAATTCTACCAATTTGCAAAAAATTAATTTGGAGATTTATTAGATACAGCATAAACGTACAAATTTATGGTAATTAGTACGAATTTACTACGTATCCATAACTAATATTCATAGATACAAGTGTGACTAACTAATGTTAAGTAGATTCAAACGTGACGTACCTGAATATTTTACGTATGAAATCTACGTCACCTGTTTTTACTATGTACAACAATAATGTGGAAACAGAATATTAAGGAATTGGCTTTTTTAATTACTAAAAAGCTAATTCAAACATTTGTTACTTCTACACAATGATTCTAAGTCAAATATTTCAGAACAAAAGCTCATCTGATTGTTGCCAATAATGGAACTAACAACCGACGTTCTTCAAATGTTTTCAGGGTAGTCCAAAATAAGAAAATTACATTTTCAACTTACCCATTGGTTATTGGCAAAAATAACCAGAAGTAAAAATTGTGCTAATACGTGGGTGTTTTCAATTGAAAACTTCCTGTGATTTGTAACGCCCATGTTTGTCACTTTAGGTACAAAAGTTACTTGCACGATATGTAATTAAAACGAACTAACAAAACGAACAGAAAAAAAAATAAACTTTCACATGTTACTATTATTTAAAGTTTACAAGTGTTTTTTGTTACTATCGTCGCAGCAACATTCTCGCACAACTGTTCACTTTGCAGCTCGTGAAACGTGAAATGAAAGTTTACTTGTCCGTTCCACCATCGAAGTCTCCGGAAGTAAGTATTGGTATCGACGGGGAAATAATCGCGTAGTGAACATCAAAGTGTTATTCATACATTTTTATTGTTATTATTGACTCACGGGAACTATGATTCTTATACAAACATGTTTTCTTAAGGAATTTCGGGGGTTACAGCGTGTAAAAAAGTAGTTTTCCACAAAAAGTTTTGAAAATTTGATTTGGAACCTTTTGAAACTTATTGTTACTGGTTGTTAACCAAAAAAATAGCTTAATATTAAAAATCAGGTGATAAATAAAATCATTTCAGCTTTTTCAAGAGGTCCTGATTCTTAATGGTTTTAAAAGTGGTTAAGCTTTGTCGTTTCCGATTGGATTTTTAATTAATTTAGCGCCTGTTTTGTTTCACTACCAATTTTTAATAGCTTTATCAAATCAAATTGTGTTTCACATAATTAATTATTTACTATTTTCTATAGAAAACTAACTTTTTATTTAACTACAATAAATTGACAACAAATATTATAATATTCAATAGTTAAAACATTTTCACTAAGAACGGTGAAAAAATAGGCTAGTAATAACGGAGTTAAAATTTGAATAATCTTGTTTCTAAAAAGGAACATCTAACACGTAACTTTCTGGAGTCTCATATTTGAGCATGGTTTATAATTTTTCACAGTAAACATGGCATTTTCCGATAAGTATTTGAAAATTGTACTTTTCAGCTTTATTTATTCAAAAGCATTTTTGTGTTTGCGTATCTTCAAAAAAGAAAAATAGGTTGTCAAGATTGAATATTGATCCACATTCAGATCGAAAAGCGCCTCGGTTTTGAATAGTGTGTTAAAAAATCTTAAATATGATATGAATACTTTTTACCAGTGATTTACTTCGATGCAATGTCTATCCTAACCATTGTGAAATTTCGAGTTCTTCTTTGTTATCTTTATCCTTCAAGAAGAAAATTATTAAAAAATTGATTTTCTTTCGTTTTTAATCGACTAAATTGATTAATTTAGGAACACCACAAACATCTCGCTATGAAGTTACTTAGAGTTTTACCATATTTTAAACATGATAAAAGTAAATAGACGAATTATTCAATAAATTTCACAAAAATCCTGTACTTTTACCAATTGCTAATCCAAAAAAGATACGTTTTTTAATTTTCGTGTTTATTTCAGGGCATTCTTCAAACGATTATCTTTTAATTCTGTTTTGCAAAGGAACTGTTGAAAAAAAGGCCTGAATTCTAACGCAATTTGTTTATATTTATTTACATAACATTTAATATTAAATTATTTCACTATATTTTGAAACTGTAAGAATTTTACGACAATCTTTCTAACAAATTTTGATCTTGGCCCTATTCATTTAGTTTTGGTCTTTCAGGAAGTTTAAAATATAAATTAGATTATTTTATAAGTTTTCATTTTCCTATTCAAAACCAACCGGCAGGACTACCATAAAAAGTACTGTAATTTAGAACAGTAACGTAGGTAACGTGTTATTACAAATTTGTTTTAAAGAATGTTGAGTTATTTTTAATACCTAAATTAGTCAATTAAAAGCTTTAACTCTAATGGTGCAGCTTTAAAACAATTACATATATCTATGTGAGAAAGTTTAGTTGATTTAGAAAATACGTTTCCTAATTCATTAGTAGACTTTTCTGAATTGCGCAATTAAAATAATTAGTTACTAATTTAATTTGTATGATACTGTAATCTTCTTACGTAGTTGCTACCTATATATGTATTGTACTAATAATAAAAGGGTTTTAATTTAATAATTATGGGTTTAACTTCTAAAGGTTTTGTGCTCCAATAAAGTAATTGTTATGGCAAAAGAAACGCCAGTCATCATGGATAGTTAGTTGCGTCAAACTGAGTTAACAAATTTATTTTATTTTCATTTCTTCGTGAAAACAAATTTATAGAAGAAAAAAGGGTTTAAAACTGATTTTGCTGATAAGTAGAAGACTTATAGACAATTGTTTTGGGATATGTATCAATTTAGTTCCTATAAATATTTTAAATTTGGGTTAGCTTCATCCTGCTTTCTGCTACTCAAACGTACCTGTTCCCTTAAGATTAACCCTCAATATCAGAAAGAAATGAAAAGTACTCGATGAATTGATTTTCTTCGAATGTAATCGTAAATAAATTATTAATCAATATACAGTTAGCGAGTTTATAAGTATTAAGCATAGTTTATAAAACTTCTATGTACTGAAAAAAGTTTAATAAGTGATAGGTTGAACTTTTACTATTCTATTAAATTAAGCTAGTCAAAGTTCAATTTCATTTGCCACAAAATAATAGTGGTTTTATGATTTTTTGTGTCACGATAATGAGTAGGTAGGCATATAACTTAAAATAAAGAAACGTAGATGTTGTGTTGCCGTTTTTAGAATCTGCATGAATTAAAAACTAAAGGTTAGGAACATATTCTTTTAAATATTACACGAAACAATCAGAGAACAATAGCATCGTCTTATTAATTAGTCAACGTATTAACTCAGGTGTCAACACGCTGACAAAAGTAATACATAAATAAGCGCATAAAATGAGTGATACGAGTGATAAGTATAACAAAACTATCAATTAATCACTCATTATCATTATCATAAGGTCGTCAGTTCTAAAGCTGGTTGGACACGCACCTCCACTCTTTCCTATCGTGAGCTAATGTTCGCATCATTTCCCTAAAACTAGTACATCCCACATCTTTGGCTAATTGCGAACAGTAATCTAATTTAGGTCTACCTCTACTCCTGTTAACTCCTGTTTCTGCCTCTAATATGTTTCTGACTAGACCATGGGCGTACCCAGCTTCTGTACTAGGGGCGGGGGGGGGGGCTTTATAGGTAGTTAAGGATGTTTGGGAGGTATGTCAAAATGCTACGAAACAAATAAAAATTTGGAAGAACGTTCCTCATTCAATTCTAAAACTCCTGTAAAAATTACAAATCGATTCAGTAAACCGTTAAAAAGTTATTGAGTCATTATTT